CTGGGCACTGGGGAGGCAGAGGCAGGCGGATCTCTGCGAGTTCTAGGCCAGCCTGGTTTACAGAGCAAGTTCCAGGACAGCCTCCAAAGCCACAGAGAAACCCTGTCTCAAAAAACAAAACAAAACAAAAAAACACAAACACAAAAACAAAAACTTTGTGGCTGAAAAGATGACTCTGCAGTTAAAAAAAAAAAAAAAAAAAAAAAAAAGAGGACTAGGGTTTGATTCCCAGCACCAGCAAGCATGTGACAGCTCACAACTGTTCATAACTCCAGTGCCAGGGATTCCAACACCTGCTTCTGGCCTCTGTAGGCATCAGGCTCACTGCCAGACACAAACATATATGCAGACACCTATTAACTAACTTTTAAAACTTATAATTGCTGTGGATCAGTTTTGCTATAGATTTCATTTTTTCACTGTAAGAAAGGTAAAAAGATAAAGAATAAAACGTAAATGGTGGAGGTAGTAAGATTCCGTAATAAAGCACATCCACAGAAGTATGTGTTCTGAAATTCAGTAATGTAGGCACCTATCCCAGATGTTAACACAACTGTCTATATAAACCAGCTGGGAAGCAGTGTCCAGCTACACATGAGCAGGATCCACTGCAAAATTTAAACTCATATCCCAGAGTCCCCTTGTTAGGGGGTGCACCCGGGCTTGCACAGTGTGCCCTGCATAGGGCCAGGGCCAGGAAGTGACCTCTTGAGGGCACAATTTTCTGTCGATGATCATATGCTTTCCTGGTAAACCAACTTTTAATGCTAGATTCCTCTCCAGGTGCAATAATGCTGTGACTCCCTCCCCCCTCCCTCCCTATGTTTAGCCTTCTCTGGCCTGGTGTTTACTGTGTAGATTAAGCTGGCCTTACATTCAGAGATTCTGTGTCTGCCTCTGGAAGGGACTGGAACTAAAGGCATGCCCACTGTTGTTCTTTTGCTCCAATGTTAGGATAAAGCTGGAGGGGGTCCCGCGTGGGGGGACCGTGGCGGATTCCATGACAAGCAAGGATGACCCAGGCGGCGGAGGACAAACACACCAGGCAGGCAGAGCTTGAGTGAGAAGTTTTATTAGAAAGGGGAGGGAGGAGGAGGGAAAAGAAAAGAGGTAAAGAGAAATACACACAGAGACAGAGAGAGGACGGATGAGAAGAGGGAGACAGGAGCAGAAGGAGAGGAGAGCGCAGACTGCAATATGAGCAGAGGGAAGAGCCCGATAGAGAGCACAATGGGCGGGGTCTGACTTTTAAAGGGGTCCTTTGCACCTGCTTGCAACTAGGACTCATGGAACCCTGGGCTGACCAGAGTACTGCCTGAGTGCATTCTGCCAGGTGACAGGGCAGGCCAACGCACTGCCTGAATCCTTACACCCACCTCAGCCTGATAGGCTTCTGCCAGTGTAAGAAACATTTTGGAGGTAAATTAAACTCATTTTATGTTTGGCAGTGGGAAGTGGGAGGTTTGGGTTTTTTGTTTGTTTGATCTTGTTTTCATAATTGTATATCTTAAAACCTTACGAAGTTAGGTTATATAGTCTGAAACACTAATATAAAACTGCCCCCAAGGAAAGATGGAGTTAATTTTTAAGTCATCTGTACTTTCTTTTGGTTTTTGAGACAGAGTTTCTCTGTGTAGTTTTGGCGCCTATCCTGGAACTCGCTCTGTAGACCAAGCTGGTTCCTGGAAGTTCCTTTAGCCTGCTTGGCCACTCTAGCAGAACCTACTTCTCAAGGTACTTCTTCCCGTTTCACACTTCCTGCCTTCCGGTGTGTGCAGTCCTCACTAAATCATGCATTCTTGGAGGGAAGGTAGAGTCTAAAACGTAACCCCACATCCTAAGAACCTAAGGTTTAACTCAATGAAAGTTCCTTGAATTGTATTGATCTCACCAAAATCAGACGGATTGTGGAAAAGAAAGAAATAGCCGTCTAATTTCTGGGAATTAAATCAAACTGATTTTTTTCTTTTATTGTAAATTGATCATATATACTTAGGAATTTTGCGAACTTGATTTGTTTCTTATCATAGGAAAATGGTGTTATAGCAATTATATTCCTAATTTTTTTTACTTTGTAAAAACATTAAAAAAGAGCCTCATCTGTGTATTTGATCATTTACACTACCGTTCTCCTCACCAAAGTATTTTTGAAGTGAATTATAAGAAAAGTATAAGTCAGGGAAACCTGAGGAAACATTTAGCCCAGATGAAAGATGAAGTGCCCTGAGCTTAGTTGGGAGCTGCAAGAGGCAGGGAACCTTTATTTTGTGAGACCGAGACTTTTGGCCATGAGTGAAAGCTAATCTAGGGCTTAGTCAGATCTGCAATGCTGGGCTCTCTTAGGGATTCAGGCTAGGTCTCCATGGAGCCCTGGTACCTGGGCAGCTAAGGTGATTTACTGGGTCCCTCTTACTGTTAACCAAATTTGGAAACCTCCATACTGAGGGAAATGGACGTACTTTCTGGGGCTCACAAATTGAGGCCCCAGCTGATTTGACAGATGACTCTAGCAAAAGGGATTTTCTAAATGCTTTAGGATAGGAAAGCCATAGAGCCCTTGTTTCCTCCAGCCTAAGAATGGAGAACTTTGTTACTACTCCTGGAAAGGTGACATCACATGATGGCCTACCCTCCACCAAGGCCAAGCTTTAATTTAGGTACAGGGGTGCTGTGATCTATGGGTGGCTGACTGCCCCAGACATCCATTTAAGGAGCCACATCAGTCACATCCTAGACTACATAGAGTGACACAACTGGCTATTTGGTGGGTACAGTGGTGTCACTTATTTCCCCAAGCCACAAAGCCTTCTGGTGTAAATTGTTCCCAAGTGCAGTGGTGGCAGAGTACTAAATTTGGCTCTGTCTTAAAAACACCAACTTTTATTTTCAGCCCGATGCTGGATAAAGGGTTCCTTCTGTTTTGTGATAGAATCTTGGCTCTAAGCATATCCTGACCTTGAAAGCTGCAAGTTTAGGGAAAGCATAGCAGTGGGCAAGGTAGGAGGTCTACCTTCAGACAGAGACTCACAGTGGGCAAGGGAGGAGGTCTACCTTCAGACAGAGATTGCCGCACACTGGCCTTCCTGGCTCATAAATCAGCCCACACACATGTAAATTCTTCTACATCTACGCTAGCTCTTCAGGAAAACATGGCTGCCAGTCTGCTGAGAACATTTAAGTCCATTTTTATGAATATGAGATGAATCAGCGTAGTTAGTTTATTATTTGCAACTATGATGATAATTTCTAGAGCCGTGTACTAATTATGCTGAAACTTTTTGAAAAAGCTACAAAGGTAAGAAAATCAGACAACAAAACTAAGCCATTCTTAAGTTGCTTTTGTCAGGTATTTTATCACATTGACTGGAAAAGTAACTGATACTTAAGAGACTGTACATATTATCCCAGCCCAAAGAAAATGGATCTGTTTTTCAGTATGTGTTCCTCTTGTACTAGAAGCAATGATAAACTGCCTCTCAGTGAGATGAGCATTGGAGACAATACTTGCTAGTTAAGAGTTAGTTAATTGAATATTTTCTAAAACCCTTTAACTACAACATATATAAACACAGTCATACATCTTAATTTTTTAATTTTATTAAACTATTTTAACAACTCACATTAGAAAAGAATTGCAGATATTTTGAGCACCATTTACGAAATCATTATGCTAACCCAAAGGAAGATACCCCTTTGCCTACTAGCCAAAAATATAACAGAAAACAAAACTAGGGAGTAACTATTTCTTAATTTGTAGTCTTTATTGGGACACCTCTAAAAGAAAAACAGATTTTTACCCTACCAGTGAAGTGAGTGTGTCATGAGAGAAGACTATGTGACCTTAGCAATTGCCAGAAAGAACAGAGCAGAGATTAGGCCGATTACTAAATTTTAGAGTGTGCTTGAGTGTATCATGGAATTGCTTAAACATGCCTTGCCCTGACCCTGTTTGCAGCCATTCACCACGTGCTTGTTTGCTCATGAGGAATGCCCTAAGTGCCTGCTCTGCATTTTGTTCTGGGTAGTCACTAAATGCTTAATGCTACTTGGGAGGCAGAGTGATGATGTCTCCTGGGTCCCTAATGAGAACCATCAGAACCTTCTTTGCTGTCTCAGGGTTTGGGGCAAATGGGGTCACTTTTGAAAAAGACTTCAAAATTCCTTGCTCTAAAAATACAGCACCTTCCACACAGTAGACAGTATGATACAACAGGGCGTGGAGTTCAAAGGTGGATTGGTAGCTTATGAAGAAGCTTCTCTTCACTCTTTGAAAACTTCCTATCTTGAGAATTAGTTTAATAAAAACTGGAGATCTTAAAGTGTCTCAGCTTTCAGGTCGGGCAGTCTTGGCACATGCCTTTCATGCTGGCACTCAGGAGGCAGAGGCAGGTGGATTTCTTTTGAGTTCGAGGCCAGCCTGGTCTGGTTCCAGGACAGCTAGGGCTACGCAGAGAAACAAAACAACAGCAACAAAGAAACTGCCTCCACTTTCAAAACCTTAAAGTGTTTCTCCAGTTTTTGACAGACACATTAATGCTGGTTTGTTTCTTTGTTTAAAGCCACAACTAATAGTTTTGTTTATAAAGCTTACTACTTCTTTTGATTTGTAATTTTTTATGTGTTATGATCTGTAGTTCTTAAAATAAGTTTCTCGGTATCAAGAGATAACATAAACACTGAGGGCAGGAACAGAACAGAATGGCTCCATCTCATAACCCTGCAAGCAAAACCTTCTTGTCTCCCCTGATTCTAACTGTGTTACTATGAATCTTGGTATGTCCCATTCAAGTTGGTTCTTAGAGTAGGACTCTAAGAGCAAGCCCAGTGAGAAGTCATTTTACAGTTCTGGTTTGTCCTTTTAAAGTATGTCTAGTTTCAAAGAAGGCCCAGGTAAGCAATGGTTTCTCTCAAGGAAACTTACCACCACATAGAGTATATATTTGACGCTGAAGTGACATCTAGTTTCACTGTCTGTATCTAAACATTCTAAGTGTAAGTAACCTAATTTTGATAAAGGAAGTCTGTAAAAACACTGGCACACCACCGATAGGTCCGAGTCCAAGCATAGCCTGTGAGTGGTCTCAGAGTGAGAGCTGCCTTAATCTGGCATTCAGGGTGTGCATGAATGCTTCTTTTTTTCCTCAGCCATAAGCACAGTTGGCTGCATTTCCATGGATCCAGAGGCAAATCTGGGCGTACTTGAGGGGAGTGATGCGCACAGCCACGTTGTAGTCCTTCTGAACCCCGTGCACATCCACCCACTGGTGGCCTGAGTAGACCGCAATGATCTTGCGCTTCCAGGTTTTTTTGCCTGGCTCTTTGAGCCTCAGGTAGATCCCAGAGCCTGTGGAGCCTGCCTCAGCATCGCAGTACTGGTACAGGAGGTCATTGGATTCCTCAGAAACGCTGCAAAACCGATACACCAACTGATCATCCCTGTCATTGTCAAACCCTGAGAAGTGGATCCGGCCTCCTGGCAGCTTGGCAATGGTGGGGCTGACTCCCAGCTCCATATGCTGCTGCTTGTGTGCGCGCTTCAGCTCCAGGAGCGCGTAGTCGTAGTCTAAGGCCGGGTCGCCACTCTCTCCTCTTGCCCAGCCTTTGGGGATGTGGGTGCTCTTGACGCGGGTCCACTGGAAGGAGGGCCTCCCTTGGGTGACCCTCGGACCCCTCCTGGATCCTTTTCCCCGTCTTTGGGTGGCACTCTCCTGAGGATGCTCTTGACCACTGTGACTTTGGCCACCACCCCCTGCTCCTCTCCGACTTCTCTGGGAACCTTTGCGTTTCTTGCGGCCTCCTTTATTTCTCATCTTCAGCACTCCTACCCTCAACCTTTTACTGCCTTTGATATAGTCCTTCCCATCGTGCACACAATGGGCCGCTGTGAGCACGTGGTTGGGGGAGATGAGGGCACCGCTGCAGCCTGTGGACAGCTTCACAGCTGTATTAAAAGGGAAATTGGTCAAGAACCTTTTGTCCAAGATGCTGAACCTGCTGTCCGTACCGTACACCTGCCGCCTCCTCCTCCTAGGGCTTGGTCCTTTTATGCTGCTATTTCGAGTGGGCTCTGGGAACAGATCTTGAACTTTCACCCTGGTTAAGGTTCGGGTGCCGTTCTCAAAGACCGTCTCATAAGAAAGGGAGTCTTCAAGTTGGGAAAGGCTGGGTGCAGGGAGCTCTTCCTGACATTCGATGCCGCACACTCTGGCCATCACCATCCCAGCATCTGCCTGGAACATGGGGCTGGCAAGATGGACAGTCCTCTCACTCACAACCCGGGGTATTCTGTTCAAGTGCCACGTAAAATCTGGTTCTGTTTCAGACCCATCAGAGAGGGTCCATCCAGAGACGAAAATTATCAACCAAAATAATATATTTTCCATCTTGTTTTTCTATTTTGTCCTAAAAAAAAAAAAAAAAAAAGAGTGGTTTTAGGGCTTCTTATTCTAAATAAAGCTTACCTCTTTATTTACATATTAGGTCCTCAGGGTAACTCCACTATAAAGAGAGCCCATTTTCACCCACCTCAGCACCCACTGAGTGGAGCCATAACAGACATTTGGAATCACCGAGTTGTTTCTCAGCCAGCTCTCTCCCTATCAGCTGTATAGCTCCCTCTTCCCCTCCCCACCACTTCCCCAGACAGCCGAGGATGGATCAGGGTGGGCTCTGTTGAGAGGTCTCAGCCCACAATCTCTCCCAGATGGTTATTTCTTTATTGCTTATAAGTTCAGACAGAAGCAGCATCCTGCAGTTCCTTTTGGTACTTGGCTCTTTGAAAGCAGGATCATAAATTCTTCACATCACATCTAAAACATAAATGACTATCCGAGTTTGAAAACATTCACTGGTTACAGGACTCCCAGCTCCGGGGTCTGCAGAAGGAGCTGATTTGGAGTTTGCATGAGAAGAAGATTCTGTGAAACAGTGCTAAGTTAGAAACAGTTTATCAGCTAGTCACCTGCTAATTTTATATATGCATAGGTACACACCACAGGCACACATACACACCACAATACAGACACACAACATACAGACACAACATACAACACATAAAGACAAAACACACATACACATATACATATACTGACACACAGAGACACACACAACACATAAAGACAAATATAACACACATGAATATACAGATACACATAACATACTGACACAAACAACATACACATACTGATGCACACAACACAAACACACAACACATATGTACATACAGACACACACAGACACATGACACATAAAACACTCACACACACATAAGGAAGGGGGAAGGGAAGGCGGGGTCAGGAAGGAGGACAAGGCTGGAGTCCAACATAGGGCTTCATGCATCTTCTGCTTGGGGGCTTTTATTTTTTATTTTGAGACAGTCTCAGCCACACAGCTGACCTTGCTTGAACTTACTCTGTTGTCCAGGCTGGCCGTAATCTTTGATCCTTCTACCTCAGCCTCCTGAGTAGCTGGAACTTTAGTTAGCCTTTGTCACCAGGCCTGGCCACTCCTTTGTTTTTTTTTTCTTTAGAATATCTTTTATTTCTTCATTGACAATTCATATAAATCTACCATGTATCTTAACCTTACCTTCCACCAACGTGCCCTCCCCTGCACTGTCCCAACACCTCCCGTCACACTTTCCTGTTGTCATTTTTTATTTTGTAACTCTAAGTATCAGCTGGGGTGATGGCTGATCATGTTGCCTGGTCTCTGGCAGCCCTTGCATGGGTAACCATAGTTGTAGTGGGTTCCCTTCCATTTTTACTCCGTAAAAGAAAATATACAGTAAACACCACTTTATGCTGAAGTAAGAAATATGTCCTATGCATTTTTTAGATCAGTTTTGCATGGAGCCACTATTTTATATGAAAGTGTGTTCACAGTGGAATTGTATATGAAAATTGTTTAAGAATTTGTGTAGCCTAGACCATGGGTTTTTATTTATCTCTTAGAGAATGTGATCATAATACACTATGCCCTCTTTCCAACATGGGTCTCATCATCTAAGCTTTCCTAATATTAAATATATTTAAAGTTGTCAATATGTGATAATATGATACCCCTCTATTGTTTGCTGTTCCCTCTTCTCCGGGTGCATAGGCATGGAAGAGTGTAAATATGCACACTTAGTAGGGCTGAGGCTCACATGCTACATCTTGTAACATTCCTTAAAGCAGTTTTGATCTTCTCTGTTATTTGTTATCTGTTATTCTCTGTTATTGTCCAGGGAATTTATAACTAACAGTTTAAAAAGCCAGGCTTAGAAAACGATTTTTGCAACGTTCAAATCAGAGGACCCCCTGAAGCTGGAGTTACAGGTGGTTTTGAGCCCCTCTCCCAAGGTGGTCCTCTTGTGGAGGACCTTGTTCTTAGCAAAATTTCAGTCAAGAACGATGTTGTTTGTTTTGAGTTCATTTTTGTTTTGGTTTGTTTATTTGTTTGTGTTTGAGACAAATTCTCACTATGTAGCTATGGCTTGGAATTTGCTATGTAGACCTGGCTAGCCTCAAACTCACAGAGTTCTGCCTTCCTCTTCCTCCCTAATACTACGATTAAAGGTATGTGCCACCATGTTTAGCACAAGAGAGTTTTATGATTTGAGATACAATATTTTTCCCATTCTGATGGTACTTGAAATTGAACTCAGATCTTGGCATATGCTAGGCAAACACCCTACCACTGAGCCCATTCAAAATTATATCCAAGATAAAGTCTCACTTTGTAGCCCAGAATTACTTTGGAAGTCATAATCTTTCTGCCTCAGCCAACTAAGAGACTGAGATTACAGATGTGCCAATAGGTCTGACTTACTATCAAAGACTGATAGTCTCTAGCTAGCTACACCAAGATACATGAAATCTTTGCATATTTTTACATGTGGTTATCTATGTAATAATAATCAAATAACAATCATTCTTGGGCAAAATCCAGGCTAACTTTCCATCCATACTATGGAATTGTTTCCCAGCTAGGTCTTTTTTTTTTCTAGAGTTTTTAGTCTTACAAACTCTTAAGCTAGTTAAGGATAAGAGAGATGGAATGTAAATATTAGGTGCTGACAAGACAGATTCCACCATACCAATTACTGAACTGGAACGTCAAGCTTCATATCCCCTTTGCCTCCCAAACAGATTTTGAAGAGAGGCTTCTGAAAATTCACTTGGATTCAAGTATAATTTGTTGGCTTCTTACTCATACAGACTTTTTAAAATTTATTTTCTTATTTTACATATTGACCCCAGTTCCCTCCTTGTCCCTCCCTCTCTCCCTCTCTTTCACCCTCCCATCCCATCCCCCCCAATCCACATGTAGGATTATGCCTTCGTGGTGGGGTCATCTAAATCTGTTAAGTCATTAGGAGTAGGGACTAGGCTCTCCCTCCTGCCTCTAGGTTAAGGGAGTATCCCTCCATAGGGAACATGCACCCAAAGTCCTTTTGTGCACGAGGAATATATCCTGGTTCCACTGTCTGAGGTCCCTTAGATTGCCCAGGCCTTCTAACTGAGACCCATGTTCAGGGGGTCTGAGTCGATCCAATGCTGGATTCCCAGCTATCAGTCTGGGGGTCCATTAGCTCCCCCTTGTTCAGGTCAGCTGTCTCCGTGAGTTTCTGATCTTTTCCTCCCTCTCTGCATCTGGATTTCAGTTCGACTCAGTGTTTAGCTGTGGGTGTTTGCTTCTGTTTCCATCAGCTACTAGATGAGGGCTCTATGATGATGGATAAGTTAGTCATCAGTCTCATTATCAGGGAAGGGCATTTATGGTGGCCTTTCCACTGTTGCTCAAATTGTTAGTTGGGGTCAGTCTTGTAGGTCTCTGAACATTTCTCTAGAGTCAGTTTTCTCTTGAAACCTATAATGGCTCCCTCTTTTATGGTCTCTCTCTCTCTCTCTCTCTCTCTCTCTCTCTCTCTCTCTCTCTCTCTCTCTCTCCTCTCATCTATTCCTCCCCTTACTCAATCTTCCAGTCCCACGTGCTTTCCTCTCCTCCCCTTCTCTTTCTCCTAGTTCCCTCTACACTCATTGCCCCCCAACTCCTCATATGCTCAAGAGATCTTGTCCCTTTCCCCTTCTGTGAGGGACCTTATATGAATCTCTTAGAATCATCCTTGTATCCTAGTTTCTCTGGTGGTGTGAATTATAGGCTAGTGATCCTTTGTTCTATGCCTAAAATCCATATATGAGTGAGTACATACCATGTTTCTCTTTTTGTGGCTGAGTTACCTCATTCAGGATGGTTTCTTCAAGTTCCATCCATTTGCCTGCAAATTTAAAGATTCCATTGTTTTTTTTTTTTTTTTGCAGAGTAGTATTCCATTGTGTAAATATGCCACATCTTCTTTATCCATTCTTCAATTGAGGAGCATCTAGGTAGCTTCCAGGTTCTTGCTATTACAAATAATGCTGCTATGAACATAGTTGAACAGATGTCTTTGTTGCATGGATGTGGATCATTTGGGTATATGCCTAAGAGGGGGGGTTGCCGGGTCCTGTGGTAGACTGATTCCCATTTTCCTGAGGAACCGCCCGCCATACTGATCTCCAAAATGGCTGTACAAGTTTGCACTCCCACCAGCAGTGGAGGAGTGTTCCCCTTTCTCCACATCCTCTCCAGCATAAGTTGTCATTGTTGTTCCTAATTTTAGCCTTTTTGGCAGGAGTAAGATGGTATCTCATACAGACTTTTAACTCTGTTATCTGAAACAAGGGTCATGACCAATACTTTTGAAAACTTCAAACCTATCTGTGACTTATAAATCATACTTGGTAACAGACACCAGGAGCACATAGACATATATTTCCCAGTGAGTGGATTCCTAGGTAAACATCCTCCCAACAGTCGATAATGATTCCTGCTCACCAAGAGGATGCATCAGACTGAATTCACAGGGTCAGTGCAACGATACCTGGGAACTTGTTAACAGTGTGAATTCTTGAACACTGAAATTCCTTTGTTGGGGGAGAACATTAATCTAGAATTAACTCTGGTGCTGTCTTTAGCTAGTAAGGAAATTCTCTTCAAGATTTTCAACAAGGGGGACTGAGGGGACAGCTCAGTCAGTAGACGTTCATACTGCACTTGAGAACCCAAGTTCAATTCCCAGCATTTCTATCAGGTCCCATACAACCACCTGTAACTCCAGATCCAGAGGAATCTGACACCAAAGGCCTTCATAGGTACTGAACTTACATGCACATACCCCACCTCATACACACATAATTCAAAATAAGTATGTTCTGAAGAATGTTTTCAGCAAGAGATGTGGCTGACTGAGCAGGAGGAAAAAAAATGAGAAAGCAAGATCTTATTGGTGATCATCTATGAGAATCCAAACAAAAAAGAATGCTATTGTGATGTCCCCTTGGCTCTCTTTGTGATGATGCTGGGCATGGGCATG